GTCAGACCTGCCCATAGCTTGCTGCTAGAGAATCAGGTATGGAAGGATATTGTAGATGATTCCTGCAGTTCCTACAATGAGTAGGATTTGTAATGGTGGCAAGGAGAGGACTTTAGAGTAAACCAGTATTTTGGTCAACAGCTAGGTGGCACTTAGTTAATGGCACCATAGATAGTTTGTGGAAAGGATGGAGTACAATGGTATAGACCCCTAATGTGTGATAAAACACTGTGTACAGAATAGTAGAGACATTTCATTTGCCTAAATATCTGTTCTTAAAGAGAGTAACAACCACATTGGACCAAATTAAATACGAACATAGCAGCAACCTGGGGGGAAGGAGAAAGTCTGGTTTTGTGAATTACAGTTTTGAGTTTTGTGATGGCATTTTTAAGCTGCCCTATTTAAGTGTCATAAGATTATAAGAGTGAGCACCCAGTCAATATTTGCTGAATGTTGTTTTTTGAATGAATAAAGATGGACACAGAAACTTGTCATCCAGCATAACTGGGGTGAATTTAGGGAGAATTGCTTTACTGTAATGTAGAGGGTTTATTTTTGCATGAGGAAAGAGAAAAAGTGCCCAGACTTGTACCTGGTGAAATACATCCTTTATTTGTATATTTTCTGATGGTGAAATCGATCTATGGAAATACGTTATTCTTTGAGGTATTTAGACAGCAATGCAAGGTAGTTTTCTAGGGCACGTCATCAAGAGTAGGCCCCAGACTCTGGCCCCAAATCCAGTCCATTTGAAACAAGCTTTTTAGTTTCTCCTGCAGACACCTTGTCAACAACTTCATGGGTCTCTAAAGAAGAAGGATGGGAGTCCCAAACTAGCCTGTGCTTACCCACATTCACAACTGCATGTAAAGGAAGAATTTGCAATGAGACTCAAGGGAAAGCACAATGGGATAAGGTAATCCCTTTGAATGAAAAACTGTTTTCTTGACAAGAGGCTTGGAAATAATTGAAAGTTGGCAGGATTCCTGTAAACACACCAAGAGTTTGTAATCTAGCCTATTCATTTTATGTCCTTTACTATTCATTGATACTGCTATTCTTCTACCCTGTTGTCTGGTAACTTTTTCTGAGGCTTGAGTTTCTGAAGCAATGTGGTGCATTCTTCCTATGAGGAGGAAACATCTGGGCCTCATTCTGCAGGCTTTGGAGGATAATGTGTCTTGTCAAGGGGTACATAGCAAACTGATTTAATTTCTGCTTAAAACTATCATAGTCATTCCAAAATAGAATGCGTAAAAATTCTCTGTATTAGAAAAAGATATGAGATACCAATTGTATATTTTCTCTTCTTTATTTATTCTCTGTAAGTCTGTCAGATGATAGATTGTAAATAACAATGATTAAAGAAATATGCTACTGATGGATCCTTCTTTCTGTGTAAACAGCACAGTTGTGGGCTTTGTTATTCTTACTCCTTTACACCCTTAGGTCCTTTTTAGAGAAGTGATGGGGCGCGGGGACAGAGCCGAGGGTGTGTCTGGTGTGGACGCCTGTTCGTTGAGGGCTATCCCGCAGAGGGTTATTTACATGGGCCTCGCACATATCAGTTGACTGTTTATTGGAAGAAAAGCATCATGGTCTCTGGCATATCCAAACACACCAGAAATTGAGATTTTATGTGGTCACATGAGTCCAGTTCTGAGGAATCCAGTCCAGAATTAAATGGGGATCTTTTATTGTTGTTGTTACAAAGTTGTCTTGTTTGATACACAAAAATCCCTTCTAAATCCAAATATGGTCTGTCTGAAGACTGCCTATGCATACAAAAAGCAACAAAAACTATGGACAACCAGAATATAGACTCAGCCTTCATAACAGAGATTAGGATGATGAAACTACCCAAAACAATATGTTTCTTCTTTCCCCTGAAGAATACATTTATACTTTTAATTTTCTGAGTAATATGAACATGTTTTTTTCAGTGATGACCATGATAGATAAGGGAATGGATCTAAATCCCCAGAGAATAACCAGAGGACTCATGAATTCACACTCTGCCCCCTAGAGTGTCTGGTCTGATTCTAGGACTAAGGCCAGGGATTCAAATATCTGTGTGGTGGGAATGGGGTTGGGGGTGGAGGAAAAAACGCAAACAGAGATAGCAGAGATGTTCAAACAAGTACAATTCTACTGTCAACACCTATTGCTAAGGTTTAAACGTAGGTATGAATGATATATATGTGGCTGTATGTGATATAGCATAGATATATATTGTGCATATATCTGAATATATAATCTGTTACTGAGGACAGAGATCACGTCTGCTCTTTTATGTTTTGACTAACAATTTGGAGGACTCTGTGTTTTAAGTGTTGAGGACTCACAAACTGATTTATTTCCATTTATAATTTTATATTCATTTTGTATCCAAAAAAGAAGTATACACAATTATAATATCTTCTCGTCCTTGAGTCCCACACAACAATAACTTCTTATGTATAGGCAACTTATGACCTCTTACTATCTAATTAAATGGGTAAAATCCTACACTCAAAGTAGTTTTGGGCCAAGCTGGATGTATAGTGATTTGAAGAGAAGATGGATGAAAGACACTGACAAAAAAAGCTACATGGTCCCATTGGCAGCTGTTCTTTTGCCCCTGTTTGCAAATCAGAGACAAACAAGTATGTCCTGCAGAGGTTTATGAGGGTCTAGACTAGAGCTCTGTACTGGAGGGTAAAGATACTCTTACTCATCTTTATCTACCTAAGGATTGTTTCAGGCACCATAAGAGGAACCAGAGATTGGTTTCAGGTCTTAGGGTCGAGGAGAATTTATTATATGAAGTAGTAAATATTCAAAGGTGAAGATGCTACATTTACTATTCCGATCACAGGGCCAAGGTTTGTCAGGGATAAATGGGATCATTGTGTACCATGTTGTTCTTCTGCTTTCCAGGAAAATAGCCCACGAATAACACAAACTCAAGATGACTCATTTGGGATGATAAAAGCCATACTTACCTATTTAATAAAAATGTTATGACTGTTAGTGGGCAGTACTACATGTGATAAAATATTACGATTTTTTTTGGTGAGGAAGATTGGCCCTGAGCTAACATCTACGCCCATCTTCCTCTGTTTTGTATGTGGGATGCCACCACAGCATGGCTTGATGAGTGGTGTAGGTCTGAGCCTGGGATCTGAACCTGCAAACCCCAGGCTGCCAAAGTGGAGTGCGCTGAACTTAACCACTGTACCACCGGGCTGGCTCTGATAAAATATTTTTAAAACACAAAATTAAGTGACATCTGTTGTCAACAGAGTTCTATTCTCCTGGTCTCTCTGGCACCTCTAGCAGTTCAGCCCATCTTCTGAAGGCTGCAGAACCTTGAAAGGAGCAACTTTAGTTGAAAGAAGGAAGAGGAGACCAAGGTTTCCTCACTGGGCTTGGAGGGACATCATGGTGGAAGGAGAGACTGCTGGTCTTGCTCTGAAGTCTTCCCACCTTCACTTTACTCACAGTTAGTCCTACACTGACTGTCATCCCAAGATTGTGGTGACGCTGAAACTCCAACCTGGGCCCTCCTCCTTCTTTGTAGAAATGAGTTATTCATAGGATAGCCACACAGCTCTGTGTCACCACTCTTATCCCTTTTACATGTCACCTCTGAGCTCTATGACACTTTAAAAGGAGTCTTTGGGTCTATACTCTAAAGACTGGGGTTAATTTTATTCCAGAACTTTCAGAAAATATTGTTAAATTGTGATCTCTTTAAGAATAGTTGAAAGTGGGATAAGGGTAGAAGCTGAGTTCCACCCAAACAATAATAAAGAAATTCGATTATTTAGGAGCCTAATGTTCAAATAATCATATTTATTCTTTTGATCTAATTTTATTGGTATAAATGATTACTAAATTACTTGATATAAAATTTATCAACACCTCTAGGATATTCAAAAGCCAATATAGATTATCTCAGTCTCACAGCTTTCGGAGAACATTGCTGTTCATAGATAATTAAAACTTCGAAAGAGGCCGTGAAGTAAAGTATGTTCTGTAGAGTTTGACACATGATGTGCCGCGTTCATTACTGTGGACCCGGACTGGTGTTGGTCGCGTTGTTACCAGTTCACGATAACTACAGAAACCTAAGCATTAGAAACTTTTACTGCAATGTGGCAGAGTATTCTTATGAGTTGAGTCTAATAAAAAATTGGGGCTTGTATTTTGTATGCCTTTTGCTTTCTGTTTCATTTTTCTACTAATTCATTTTTATTGTATTTTCCAAAAGTACCCATGTGGGATGGCTTGGAATAACAAAACGGCTCGTTTACCACAAAGAGTTTGAGACACACTCAAATACGAGGTTAGAGTACAAGAGCCATTACGTCCTACGTGAGATTCTCTGACGCCGTATTTCCCTTCCAAAACCATTCCAAGTTTTGAAAATTGATTCTGCGTAAAATTCTTAATAAAACCAATGTTCATGTTCTCAAAGATGATTTTTTAGAGGAAGAGGAGGTCTGGGACCAGAAGCTGGGCTGTAAAGTGACAGTGCCCGGATCTACACGTCCAGGCGGAGTGGAAAACAGAGCAGATGATAATCCCCAAACTTCAGCTCCTAGATCCAAACCTTTCTTCTAAAATAAGGAGCTCTGGTGCAAATATCCTGAGGCCTTCCTGCGATGAAGCATCCATCTGAAGCGCCTGGGCGTCCATTCTGTGTGTGCCATTAATCCCGTACCCAACCACGACAACCGGCAGGCGCCCGGGAAGGCTGGTGAGCAGCCGGCGGGACACCTTCGCCGCGGACTGCTTGGCAGAGCCGGCATCGGCTCGGGCCTCTGCGTCACGCTGCCCCGCCCCTCGGCCTACCTCACCCCACCCCGGCCACGGCGCGGCGAGCGGACGGCGGGCTGCGATTGGAGGGCCCGACTCGGAGTCGATGACGCAAGGGGAGGCGGGGCCTCACCGGGCCCTGATTGGAGGGCGGGCGCGTGGGCGCGGCGGGAGGTCTTGGGGCTTCTGAAAGCTGTGGCGTGTCCTTGCCTTACCGCTCGGCTTTGGGGCGCGCCACGATGCGGAAGGTGGTTTTGATCACCGGGGCGAGCAGGTGAGGCCTCTCGTGATCGCGGCGGCGGGAGATCGGGGGTCCGAGGGAGCAGAAAGAACGGGGCCAGGACGACCCGCCACGGACAGACCCCCAGAGCGCCCACCCGTGACCTTGCCCCGGGGACTCGGGCCAGACCCCGTCCCGCTGTTCCCTGGGTGTCCCACTGAGCGAGGTACGGGGCGTGCCGGGCCCTTGAGGTACTCGGTAACTGGCGTTTTGAATTAAACCTGACAGTGAAAAGAAAAGCTAGAGCGCCAGTGAGAGAGGAGTGTCGTAGTGATGATCCTGTCGAGATCCAGGAGAAAGGGCGCTTTCCACGCGGACCCTGCCCCGTCTTATCTTTGACTTTCTCTTCAGTTATCTTCCATGCCTGGCAGTTTAATTGTGACCGTGTGGCCATGTCTTGTACTCCCGGTGTTTTATCTGTGCAAGACTTTCACCCTCTGATAAATTTCAACATTCATGAGCATGAGAACAGTGGAGCAAAAAATCTTATTCCATCTAGCACAGTGCTAGACACCTGGCACATTCTCTTCAGAAACTCGGAGAAAAGTAACCTTTTCCTGTTAAGGCGTGAGGGGAGTGCAAATAACCGTTACTGCCAGTTCATAATTATTCCGGGGTTGCTCATTTGGACTCAGCATTTTCTGTTGCCTATTTAGCTTCTTATTTGCACTTCCCTGAAGAATGTGTGGAGGATGAAACTAATCAAACCATTTGTCTACTTGTTGCATGTGGAGTTTTTGAGGGATTAAGACAAAGGATATGATAAATGTCATTTAAAATTAGTCCACTTTCAGTTATCTAGCCACATCCATGTTAACTGAGGCAGCGTGGTAGGTGTCTATGACTGGCAGTTTTTAAGTGTGTCTTCTCCTGAGTGACTTTAACAGCTTCCTATGTTGAAGTTTCTTAAATAAGTCAGAATTGGTTTTGTTCGTTTCTTTTACATATATTGTTATATGTGCAATTGTATGTTTATAGTAATGGCCTACTATTCTCAAGTGAGCATCAATTGACATAAATATATTTGATGCTCTGTGGGCAGGGCCAACAGATTACTGATGGTGCTAGGCTCTTTTTGGTGTTCTGACTCTTTGCCTGGAATCAACTTAAGTCTTGGAACAGAATTTATTTACCTAGGTTTTCGTTGCTATCAGCCAAGCTGGTCTGACTGCTGTCCTGTCTACAGTGCAGTTTCACTTTCTGAAGTAGTTTATCTTTGACTCTCATATTCACCCGTGCTTCTCTTTCCTGGTGTTCATCTTATATTTCTTCTTCCGACCTTCTACTTAATCGTGTTGAGTTCTTTCTCTTCCTCTTGGTTATTTGATCATAGTGGTTGAGAGGGGCTTGTACCTCCTGCCATGTTACTGATGCCTCTTCTCGAAAGATTCATCCTATTCCTTGTCAGGAGTTTCTGGTGCTTCTGGTAGTGACAGTGATACCAACAGATAGCAGAGCCCTTGCCCTTGAGGAACTTGGACAGCAGAGTAAAATGTGCACTCAGGGAACAGCTAATAAGATGCTCTTTTTGACACCTGCTGGTGATGTATTGACTCACTTTCATGAGTGGTATAATAAGTACATAATGAAAACCACTGGCAGGATGAACTCTGCATTGGAAGAAATGCTAAAGGACAGCTCGTATCTGCATTCCAGTTTTTTGTGTATTGAGCTATGGCAGCGTGAAAGAAACACAAACCGGAGAGTGTCCTGAGCAAGTGGCTATTCGAGTGGGGGTTCCCCCCTTCTTTAAATAATTTTTGAGTCTTTTCTGTCTTCCTGGGCTCCTGATTGGAGCGCAAGTTGGTAGAATCAGTTTTCTGAACCAGAGAGAAATGGCTCTATTTGGCACCATCTCGATTAACGCATGTGCTGTGTCTGAATTGTCCTCTCAGTGGCGTTGGCCTAGCCCTCTGCAGGCGGTTGCTGGAGGCAGACGATGAGCTTCACCTGTGTTTGGCGTGCAGGAACATGGGCAAAGCGGAAGCTGTTCGTGCTGCTCTGCTGGCCTCTTACCCCACCAGTGAGGTCACCACCGTGCAGGTGGATGTCAGCAACCTGCAGTCGGTGCTCCGGGCCTCCAAGGAGCTCAAGCAAAGGTAAACCTCTTGTAGATGGGTTTTCTTTCATGTGATTGCACAACACAAGAGTTAACAAAATGAGAAAGGATAGGAAAACCTAAAAAGAAACAGGTGCAGTGTAAGAAAACGATATGCTGAGGAAATCTGTATAGAGTGACCCATTACGTTTCAGTACCACGTTTTCATTCTCAATAATAATCATGATTATTTCGTGAAGATTGATTTATAAGTACACTTTGATGTGTGTTCAATTGTAATGCCTTCCATTGATATAACTCCTTTGATATTTGAATGCACTTTTTGCATCTTTCCTCCACAAAACAACTTCATTAAGTAGATCGGGCAGGTACTAACATTTAACAAGTGAAGAAACTGAGACACCCAAATAAGAGTAATATTGATATTGGTTGGGTTGGTCTTAGGACCCAGGTTTCTGCTTTGCTTCCTCAGGGATTTTTTTTTTCCCTAGGCCAGAAAAGATTTGTTCACACCTGCACGGTAATTGTCATGTAATAGACATTTGATAAATATTTAGTAAGTGAAGGAGTAGAGTCCTTGGATATATAACTCCCCAGAAAGTATACACAAAAGTTACATGTAGGTGCACGATGCATTTTTCTGGAGAGAGAGAGCATGCTTTTTTTTTTTTTTAATTCTAAGAGGAGTTTATGATCAAAAAGTCAAGAACCCTGCATTAGTCCATGCTGAGCCCTAGGGATATCTGAAATAATTAATTTTCAAATTAATTTAATCATTTAATTAATAAACAATTAGTTAAATTTTTGTAATTGAGGCCCTTAAGAAACAAGAGCTGCTTTATTTCCTTGCACAGTAAAATGAAGTGCAGTAGAAACAAGGAAGACCTTCTTGGTAAAGGCATTTCCTGAAGACTAAAACTTGGCATGTTCTTTATGTTTGTCGGTAGCCATTTGCATTTCCCTTTTCCAGATGCACAAGTTACAAAGCAAAAATTGGTATCCTTCACCCCCAGCTCTTTTTATTGCAACCTTAGCCCTTTGTGAATGTGGTTTCTCTCTCCTCCACTGCTGAGCTCCTAGAATTTTCCGCCATATCATCTTTCTAAAAAACTGGGCAGAGGGGCCAGCCAGGTGGCGCAAGCGGTTAAGTGCACGCAGTCCGCTGCGGCAACCCAGGGCTCGCCGGTTCGGATCCCGGGCGTGCACCGACACACTGCTTGTCAAGCCATGCTGTGGCGGCATCCCATATAAAGTGGAGGAAGACGGGCATACATGTTAGCCCAGGGCCAGTCTTCCTCAGCAAAAAAAAAAAAAAAAAAAGGAGGATTGGCAGATGTTAGCACAGGGCTGATCTCACAAAAAAAAAAAACCGGGGAGATTTTCTAAGTTCCACATCCCCTGCTCCTCCATAACTTAGAGTCTCCGAATCTGTGAAACTGCACAGTAAACATCCTTACTGAGTTAAAAACCCTGGAATCAGGACAGAAGTTATGAGTTTCAAATCATGCTTGCAGGCATTCTTTCTCCCAACTTTCTTAGCCAGCTGGCTGTCTTCCCTGTTTTGTGTAGATTTGGTATATTTCCTGTTTTTAGCATCCTCAGTTAATGATAGCCCATTCCAATCCAGTTGACTTTGGAGATTGAAAGTTGTAACATTCATAGTATTGACTATTCTCAATTGCCTTCAAAAGTTCAAGATATTCAGTATTCGCAAACTTAGTAATTTAGCCCAAATTTAAGGCACTGAACCTGTGGGGTAAAAGGGAGCTCTAAGGAATTAAGTGAGTTTTCCCAGCTGCCTGTCAGCGTTTTAGTGCAGCTTTGATGTATTTATTTAATCTTAAAAACAGCTCTCTTTGAGCGGCCTGCCTGATGGCTTAGCTGTTAACTGCGCGCGCTCTGCTTTGATGGCCCAGGGTTTGCAGGTTCGAATCCCGGGCGTGCACTGATGCACTGCTTGTCAGGCCATGCTGTGGGGCGTCCCATATAAAATAGAGGAAGATGGGCACTGATGTTAGCCAGGGCCAATCTTCCTCAGCAGAAAGAGGAGGATTGGCATAGGATGTTAGCTCAGGGCTAATCTTCCTCACACAAAAAAACCAGCTCTCTTTGAGGTGGATGGTATTATCCAAATTTGGGAAATGATGGTTGTAGTGATATTCACAAATTTGGAAATATGGGACAGTGTTCAGATAGATCTCTTGCTTATGTCAAGGATCTCCTGCACTTAGGCCCAAATGGATATCTTTGAGTATAGACCTGAAGTAAGTTAGAGCCAAAGACAGCTTGAGAAGAATCCCTTCCAGTCAGCTAAAGCAGCACCGTTCCTGACCCCTGGTCTTTCCATCTGTAATCCTCTGTTCTATTAGATATGTGCAGGTGAAAACTAATAAGAAATAGTGGTTCTGTTTTATCCAGAATAGAGCAGTTGTGTCATTTAATCTTTGAAAGTAGTAAGTATACCATTTTACTGAAGCCAGACCTTAATTTGGTGTTCTGGTACCATTTACACTCTTTGCTAAGCATTTTGTCTTCATTCGTAGTAAAATTGTTGATATACTTAGAAGAAAGTTTGCAAATTAGATGGTGGAACAACCAACGATAGATGGACCTGCACTGTCCTTGCGGCACTTACATGGGTGACTTGATGGTATCAATATCAGCACTTTAAACAGTCAGTTTAGTAATTCGAGTCATTTGGCTGTCAATTACTTGTAGGATGATCAAGAAAGGTTTGTGTGTGAACTGTATTGGTAACCATGTATGTATTTTAAGGTCCTAGCCTTAGTAGCTATGGCCCATATTGTCCTGGGCTATTACAGAGGACACAGAATCAGTGTGGTGCATAGAATTCTAGGAGGTATTCTGAATATTCATGGTGTCTGTGAGTATCACGAGAGCAGGCTCTACTTGTCTTGGACCTAGTTCGAAAGGAATATACTTAGATTAAGGCTTATGTAGGTTTAAAAATGAAAAAGCTTTCTCAAGTCAGCATTTCACAATTCTTTCCATGACAAGTGTCCTGGAGAGAGCCCAGCGAGAATACCTCACACCCGTTCAGCTTGCATAATCTCAGTGTATTCTTGTGAGCCTTCATCATTTTATGGTACAGAGCACCTGGCCATGAACAAGGAAAGGTTGCCACATGAATCTTCTGCTTTAGTAGATAGCTTGGCATTTGGATTCCTGCATTGATGGATCAGATTAGTTGAATATGAATGTTATATGAATTTTACTTATCAATAGGGAAGATATGAACCTTAAAAAAAAAAAAAGGCAAAAAACTTTCTTAAGACTAGAAGGAGAGTGGGTTTAATAGACAGAGGGTTACCGCAGTGCATGATTTGGCAGACTAAGCTGGAAGGAGTATTGATCAGAGATTTAACTTCAAAGCTGGTTATAGCACCCCAAGTTCTGTTTGAAGCTGCCATCAAAAAAAACAATACTCGGATATTTACTGTGGCTAAAGGAAAACTGTTGAGAAAGAAGTAGTGTAACACTGACGTGTTATGCATTCTCTTCAGCTTGCTGTAGACACCTTTTTGGTTCAGAAAGCATTTGCTGTCCTTCCTGGACCTTCTTTATTCCAGTCACTCTAGAGATAACTAACAATCTTGTCTTGCTGTTTTATTTGCAGGTTTCAGAGATTAGACTGTCTATATCTAAATGCTGGGATCATGCCTAATCCACAGCTGAATATCAAAGCCGTTTTCTCTGGCCTCTTTTCAAGGTAATTTCCATTTTCTAGATGAACTGATTAGAAGGAAAAAGATGGTGTTTGTTTTCTGCCTAGTTTTGCCCTCAGTATGTTAAGTTGGCAGGATGAGGGGGTGTTAAGAAGAACGGAGACAGAAAGGAAGTGTTGCAACCACGTCATGAAAGAAAAGCATTCATCTTTTGTGGGGAATGCTGCAAGTCTTGGTTCTTACGGTGTTCTAGGTCTCCATGACATTCCAAGTGTTTGGATGTTTCAGAAGGTCAATTTGTGCTCTGCCTGAATGTGTCTGTTAGTGAGAACATTTCAGAATCAGGCAGAGTCATCAGTGAGACTCCAGTACCCAGGAAGGCTACTTTGGAAGCGTTTCCCAGCTGTATGTCAGGTGCTCTGACCAGTAGCCTGGGGAAATGCACAGATGGAAACATCTTCCTGGGAGAGTCTCAATACACATTAGTATAGTGGCTTCCAAAAATGTTTGACCGCAACCTACAGTAAGAAATAAATCTTATTTTGTGACCTAATAACTTGTTCATAAATAGATATTCTTGCTCTTACTGCATGCTCCCTACTGCACTGCTTTTGTATTCCTTCTCTTCGCTTAAACATACACACAATCCCACACTGGTCTTGACTTACGAAATTGATCTCACAGCAAATCACTGTATTAATATGTTCAGTGCTCCAAGAATTCCCAGTAAGAAAACAACCTGTTTCACTTTGGTCAGGGGTTAAACATCAGTTTGTGCAGGGGAGGACTTTTTCTCCTTGGCATAGCTATTATTCTCCCAGAGAAGTTTACTTGTAACGTGATTTGGAAAGAGGTAAAGAGAGTTCTATCAGCAGGTCTTTGAGAGACTTGGGTTCCTATTGGGAGTATGGGCTATAAGTATGTAAGTACTTCCGTGAATTGGGGGAAAGGAAGCATTTAATACTCACAATAATCCAGTCTGAGCAATGGGTATTTTTCTCCCTGTTATTACAGAATCAAGGAAAATGTGATTTGGGGGCTGGGGAGGGCAGCAAGAGTGTCTCTCCAGTATCTTCAGCTAAAGAAGCTTTTACAAGTCATACAATTGTCTTCTGCTGTTTCAGAAAAGTGATTCATGTGTTCTCCACAGCTGAGGGACTGCTGACCCAGGATGACAAGGTCACTGCTGACGGGCTCCAGGAGGTGTTTGAAACAAATGTCTTTGGCCACTTTATCTTGGTAAGAAGACTTTGGGCTTAATAAGTCAATGTTTAGTGCCGTGATCCTCAAGGCTTGCATGGGTACATCACAGTGTTCTTTTGTTAAGCTCATTAGTTTATAGCTAGCATTAAATCTTTGAGTATTTAAATAGGGTGATCACTCTACTCTTTGAAAACATTACTTCCCTAAAGCAACCTATTGATATATTATTTTTTCTTTCAACATCAGCTACAGAGAGTGGAGAGAAAGCGAGAAAGAAACACACAAACACCCTCAGAAACTGTACAGAACTGAGAAAAAGTGCTCCAGTCCTGTTCTAAATGGTCTTTGAAACTGGGCTTGGGCTTGGCATCAGATAGGGTGGGGTAGCAGGCAAGCCGTTATTAAATAATAGTTCACAGTTACTCGTTTGTTATTTTGATTTCTGATTTCTGAAGCATCCATGCTTCTTGTCAAGATTCCAGGCATGCGTATCAAGTGAAGCAGGAGATGTGTAGCTTGTCTGGCCTGTTCTGTGTCTTGACTCAGGTTTAATCTCACATTTGAGCTGTAATATCTAGATTGAGTAATGCCCGACTGTGTTGCCAGTTGCTAATAATTCTTTGGTGCCGAAAGAACTCCTCCTGATGCTGAGTTTGCCTGCACAGAACCTGTATATCTTTGACACTTTTATATTCACGATCACTTTTCTTCACCTTAAGCCTGATTTCCCTCCAAATTGGAACTCCTTGAGGACTAGCCTATATTTATAATAAATTAAGATGTATGCAAACTTTGGAATATCATGAAATCATTAAAAGAAATGAGATAAATGTTTTGCACTTAATAGGATGGGCTCCAGTATTTTATATTAAGAAGAAATAGGAGTATGTTTAGTGTGATCTCATTTGTATAAACAAGCAGAAAAAGATATATCTTTACATGTTATATATACGTGTATGTAATATTTCTAGAATGATACAAATGGAATTGGGTGCCTTTGATGAACTGGGGTGCCAGGGTGTCAGAGATGAGTGGGAGATTCAGGTTTCATTCTATATCCTTTAGTACTTTTTTTTAAATGATATATTACTTTTTCAATGACAAAAGTTAATTAAAATATAAAGTCAGGATGTGATTGAATTCTCATCTGGTCTTTTTTTATAACTTTACAGGGATCCATTATCTAACATTTTCTTTATCGTTTAATAATCCTTTCTCCTTTGCCCTCTTTCTGAATTATTACATTAATTGGTAATGATAGAGAATAAGTTAATTATTACTATTAATAGTCTGTTAACTTGTCGATGAATCTAGTGTTTAGAAAATTAAGTTGTTAAGAAAATCAAGTGTTTGGGTAATCTGGGTTGGGGGAATGGCAGAGGAGAGTTGTGACCATAGGCACAGTTATCACAGGTATCCTGGTGACATGACTTATCCTTGTGTATCCTTATAGAGGTAGGCATGTCAGCAGGGGTTTTAGAGTTAACTTATCAAATAAAATAATAGGAAGGCTTATAATGTCTTCCATGGTCTTCAAATTAAGTTTAAAAATCTTACCACTTTTTATGGAACACAAACTTGGATTCTAGGTTCAGGTGTAAATGCATTATATAAGGGGATCCACCTGTGTTTTGATTATATGTGAAATGACCAAACTTTTAGGGTTGTTATAAAGAGTAGAGATAATTTCTGGAAGTCTAATGTCCTTTTTCAGTTCTAGTATCCCATCTAGGATGCCACATTACATTTAGTAGTCAACTCTCCTTAGGCTCCTCTTGGTTGTGACAGTTTCTCAGACTTTCCTTGTTTTTGATGACCTTGACAGTTTTGAGGATTACTGCTCAGGTATTTTGTAGACAGTCCCTCAATGGGGATTTGTCTGATGTTTTTCTCATGGTTAGAGTTGAGTAATGTGTTTTTGAGAGGAAGACCACAGAGGTGAACTACCTTTCCCATCACATCATATCACGTGTGTGTACTATCGATATGACTTATCAGTATTGCTGTTATCTCTGATCACTTGGCTTGAGGTGGTGTTTGTCAGGTTTTTCCATTATAAAGTTACTCTTTTTCTATCTCCCTTTACATACTGTACTCTTCAGAAGAGAGTTACTATGTATAGCCCACACTTAAGGAGTGCTCCTTGAGGATGGATTAGCTACATAAATTATTTGGAATTTTTCTGCAAGGGACCTATGTCTATTCTCCTCCATTTAATTCTTTATTCAATCATTTATTTATTGATCAATTATATCTCAAAGCTGAAAAAATCATTTATTATATCCATGAGGACTACAGATATGTATTTTCTACTTTGTGTTATAAATACTACTTTATTTTGTTGCTCAGAATATTTCAGTTTGGGCCATCGGGAGCTCTTTCAGTTGGATCCTGTATATCTTTGACATACCCTCATCATGATGGTTGTTTGTTTTGTTTGGAGCACGTCCTTTCTGACACTTCAGGATGTTTCAGGCTCATCTTGTGTATTTCCTGCTCCAGTCCTAGAATCAGCTGTTCTCTAAGGAGATCTGATTCCTTTTATTGGAGAATGGTATTAGAAACCAAGATGTGGGTGCTCATTGCTGTTGAGGTAGCAGATGCTTCTAGTCCCTCTCAGCTCACAGAGCAAGGAGATATATATGTGGATGCTAACCCAAGTATAAATATCTATAAATATTTTTATATGTAACCATCCATGTCTTTATTAAGCTAAACATCAGTTCATACTGATGTCTCTAACTCTAATCCATTATCACATGGGTCATCCTAGCCTCCTCCCTTGCTTATCTGTATTGTCTCACTCTAACAGTGACACACCTGTTCAATTCCAGTGTACGTTTATAGTGGCTTCAAAATTGTTATCCTGTCCTCCCCCACTGCGTTTTGATACATTTTTTATTCCTTCTTTTGCTCATTCAGATTCAGGAACTGGAACCTCTCCTCTGTCAGAATGATGGTCCATCTCAGCTCATCTGGACGTCATCTCGCAATGCAAAGAAATCTAATTTCAGCCTTGAGGACTTCCAGCACAGCAAAGGCCAGGAGCCCTACAGCTCTTCCAAATATGCTATTGACCTTCTGAGTCTAGCTTTGAACAGAAATTTCAACCAGCGGGTGAGGCCTGTCTTAGTGATATGGAAATGGTGGGGCAGAGGTTTCTGAACTACAGTTGATTTCCTAGTAACATGGCTGGCTTTCTATTAACTGTTGTAGTTTAGAAGATACAATATTGTTTTTTGAGCAGGATTGCTGTGAGGACAAGATCAGGCGTGAAGAAGATTGATAGTTGGTGTATATGAGAGTTTTGGGGCAGAGATAATTAGCTCCTGACTTTTCAGGTAATAGGGGTTCATTCACCATTCTGTAGCTCTTCAAGAGCTATAATTTATGTAACAGAGTGGTGCTACTACCAATACCAATAACTACTGTTAAGCCCTTGCTGTGTTTTAGGTGCTGTACTCTGTATCTGGGTATGTCATTTAATGCCTTTCTCATCACAGTGAGGTAGGTCTGAGTATTCCCATTTTCATGTGAGGACACTAAAGTTTGGAGAATTACGTCTTTTACCCAGAAGTAACATAACTAGTAAACAGTAGAGCTCAGAGTTGAGCCCAAGGCTGTCTGACTTCATAGCTGGGGCTTTTCCCACTAAACTACTCTGTCTCCCAGTGTTTTCATATCAGATGCTATAGGACAGTCAGTAGTTACAAAGCCTTCTGGTGATAGTGGTGATCTTTGGTAAGACTCCAGCGATCTGTCTCTGTGAGGACCCTGGGTTTAGAGGCAACCCTTGTCAGTCGTGCTGGCTCCTTGGGGCCTCTGTGGTCTGGAACGTGCTGCTTCTTTTTATGTCTCTCTTGCCCAGGTCTAAAATCTTAACTGAAAATCTCCACTCTTTCCAGTGGGCATCTTCCTTTGTTTGCATGGACTATGTTGGTTGAGTGTGGGACTGTGGAGAAATTTAATTCCACTAATAATTGCGAAAGACCTTTCATGTTTAGGGCACTGGGCCAGGCTTAGGAGCGAGGAGGAAGGAGACATCACAAGATGACCAAGAAACTGCCCTTAAGGAGCTTCTTTGATCATACGTTAGACGCAGCCATCTAAGCCTTATGTGATGGTCTGAACAACATGGTTTATTCTGGATTGGAGACCTTTATCAGATGGAATTCTCACTTGTGTGTTCTGGCTCTTAGAATCATGCCTCTTAGTGAAGAGGATGGTATATAAGTAGATGCTAAGAGCATACTCTCTAGAACTAGATTTCAATCCTGGCTCTGTCACTAGCTTTGTAACCTTGGGCAAATTACTTAATCTTCCTATGCCTCAGTTTCCTCATCTGTAAAATAGGGATAATAATAGTGCCTACCTCAAGGATTTGTTGGAGGATTGAATGAGGGGACTGATATGAAGCAGTCACAGTGGTTCTTTTTGCTCAGAATGTGTGCATTTGTGCATGTGTCTGCACACGTGTGTACATGTGGTATGAATGAGTGGGGTTGTGTGTGCTTGTGTGCATGCATACATGTGTGGGTGTGCATCCACATGCACATGTATTGGTTTTGTGGGTGTGTGCACGTGTATGAATGTGATTGTATAGGTGGTGTGTATGCATATGCATGTCTGTATATGCATGTGGGCATGTGGTCTGCACATGTGTGTGTACATGCTTATATGTGTGTGTTGGCTGTTATTGTTATAATTATTATTATTATATTTGACCTTAGTGTGTCGGTCCAATTGTGAGCCTCCTTCTGAGGTTTTTTGAGATGTTTAAAAGCTTGTTGCAACTGCTTGTGCCCTGGAAGCTCCCATTTAGGGGCAACATCGGAGTGGATTAGCTTCTTTTTTCATAAAAAGCTCTGGGATTTTATTTAAGTCTCAATTGTCAAGTAAGGTTTGGGATTTCATCTTTTACAAAAAAGGGAGGTTTAGCTAATGCTACTGTCACTGAGCAATGGTCTCGCTCTGGTCGCTGCGATCTGAACCATTTAATCACAATGAATTAGAGATTGAGAAAGGAAGTTTAATTAGGTTAGCCAGCAAATCAGAGT